ATTGCATGGGGGTGCTGCTAATTTGATAGGGGGTGCCACCCTCAGTGTCCCACTGCTGGCTACAGGCCTGATGATAAGTAAACTATACCACTTCAAATGTGATTTGTTTTAATTCTCTCCCACCTAAGAAACATAGCACATAAGAGAGAATGGTTCTAGTACAGTCTGTGCTAGTTTTCTGCTTTCGGGAATATTTTTTAATGCAGTGAGGCATTTGGAAATGAGATCCTCACACTGCAGTTTCACTACCTCAAGAGGCTACTGTCTCATTATCACCTCTTCCTATAGCATCTATACCCCAAACCTCAGCGTTGTTTTCTTTGGTGTAGGGCATCAGAAGACACAGAGTTGATTTTGGGAAATAAAGGCACTAACTGGAAATGTGGGGCAATGCTGCTACTCCAATTCACATAAAAGATTCACAGAGAGTTTGGAACTCTAAGAACATAAGAGAAGCCAATGCTGGATCTGGCCAATGGCCCATCTAGCCCAACACTCTGTCACACAGTGGCCAAAAATACCAGGTGCCATCAGGAGGTCCAGCAGTGGGGCCAGGACACTAGAAGCCCTTCCACTGTTCCCCCCCCAAGCACCAAGAAAACAGAGCATCACTTGCCCCAGCCTGAGAGTTCCTATCTATACCTTGTGGTTAATAGCCACTGATCGACTCTGTTTCTCATGTGCACTTTACAATTTGAATATTAAGCTGGTGTCATTATATTTTGTACATATTGATGACACACAAAGCACTGGAATGCTTCAGAATGGGACCAAAAGGAATCATTCTTAAATTAATACAACCCCACAAGTAGAAAATCTTGTATTTTAGAGTTGCAACAATGGTTTAAATTATTTCATTGTCCCAGGAAACTTTTTTATTTTGAATTTTGAAAATGAGAAGAAAGAAAAACAAATAAACTTTACATTAGTAATTTGATTCTGAGAACTGGGCTGATTTCCGGCAGCATGAACTCATGGTAGGTCTCTCATGTTAATGAGTAATTCAAACCAGTTTTTTTATAGTCTGAAAGCATATGTCATTCAACACTATACTTCTCTGTGCTATTTCAGTTCTGGTTTAACTTTAGAACTAAAACTAACTTATTTTACTTGAAAGAAGATAATTTATTTTTCCGACATGTGAAATTTTCCTCCAGCCTGCTCCAGCAAAATCTCATAGCAGTGGAAAAATAGGTGCAGTATGGAATTATGTAGGCACCTTCCCTTCTCTGTGCCCCCATATATTTTTCCGGTAGTTAGCACTGTTTCCT